CGACTCGGGACTCTCTGCCTTTAAATGAGACTCAGATTCATGATGGGAATGAGATTTCTGTGGTCTCGTCATGTGCCTTTGGAAATTCCAGGAACTTTAAGCTTTAAAGAAAGGTTATTCTTGGTCATAGTTTTTGTAGTTACAATCTACAGAAAACATGATATATTTAACTTCCCCTGGTAAAATTGTAACTTCTAGGTAAATAACTTGAACCTGTTACAGGGAACCTATTGTTTCAGTTACTATTATTGTTTACTAGCTACTTTCAGAACTTACTGCAGCCTTGCTTTGGGGGGGAGGAGGGGGGCGGCCAGGGGGAGATTGTTAACATTTTTCAGATACCTATAAAATAAACCTAGTTTAGTATCACATGTTTTTTTTTATTTTTAGACTTTTTTTTTCATATTTCAACAACTCAAATCAGGAAGCATCTCAGCATCAGTGCCATGTCATAGCTTAATAAGCAGGTTCTTTTTTCTTTCTTGTGACACATAAAACAATGACATGTCTTAAAATTGGAGTTTGATGGTTAATTTTATGTGTCAACTTAACCTGGCTCAGGGGGTGCCCAGACATTTGGCCAAACATCATTCTGGATATATCTGTCAGGGTGTTTCTGGGTGAGATTAGCATTTGAATGGTCGATCCAGTAAAGAAGATTGCTTTCCCCAATGTGAGGGGGTTTCATCCAATTAATCAAAGACCTAAATAGAACAAAGAGGCTCAGAGGGAACTCCTCCTGCCTGAGTGCTTGAGCTGAGACATCAATCTCCTGCTTTCTGACTGGGACGGAAACCTCGGTTCTTGGGTCTCAGAGCCTGCCTTTCGGACGGACTGGAGTTACAGATCGACTCTCCCGGTCTCCAGCTTGCTGACTGAAGATCTTGGGATTTCTCAGCCGCCATCATTGCATGAGCCAATTCCTTACAATAAACATGCATATACACACACACAATTGGTTCTGTTTCTCTGGAGAACCCTGACTAATACAGACGGGGTGCTAAATTTGATAAAATACAGTGGTCGAGGGTATCCTGAATTCCTTCTACTCAAAAGTCAAGGGGGATTTGGAGAACGTTCATATCAAACAGTCATGGGAGTTGAGCTGTAAGCGAGAAAGTGTTCCTGTTCTATACCAGGATAGGTGCTGTTCCATCATTCTAGAAATCAGACTTGGGAGTTGTTAACACCAGGAGCCGTAGTGTGGAAAGACCTCATTTTCTTCCCAAATCTGTGTACTTCCTGTGTGACTTTAGGTAGGTCGCTTAATCTACCTGGGCTTGGTTTGCTTATCTATAAAATGGGTTGGTCTGACTAGGCGATTTCAGGGGCCTCTTCCATTTCTCAGGTTCTCAGGAATTGGTTCCTCTGTTTCAGTGAGAGGAGGTGGCCTGCGATGTGAATAGTTAGGCTTTCTTTCACAGGGCCAAAATTTCACTGCTACCGTCTAATTCCAGGTGTGCTGTTTCTCTGCTCAACAAGACATAGTCTGATGATCAGCGTGGTTTCCTGGGTTGCAGTGTTTGGGCCGAGGGCAGTGGCCTTCAAGTTTGAGTCTTCATAGAATTTGAAACCTAGGTCAGGAAGCATCACTTTGTGACATAAAAGTTTAAAGTTCATCCCAAGAGGTTTGCCAGCCTTATTAATAACTGACCGGTGTCGAGATAACAGCGTGGGGCTCCTTATGTCCAGTTAGGGTTCTAGCTGTCTCCCTGGGAAGGAGGTTCTCAACATGAAGTATAATAGGAAGAACATAAGCTATAGTTTTAGAAGAGATTACTTACTTTTGGTGAGAAAGGCTTGTGTGGCAGCATATTTCAGAGACCGCTATGAGTTACTAGAGGGTAGATGTTGAGAATTTGTATTTACCCAGTTTCGTTTAAGGAAGTGAGAGACGTGGTACCTGGCAGGCCTAAATATTCTGGATCCTAGAAAAGCAGACCCCAAGAAGGTATCAGTGAGTGGAACATCTCGCCTGCACCTGACTCCTGTACCTGAGCTTCGCTTCAGCATCCTGACTGCATACGTAGTTTCCCTGTACCACGATCTTAGGCTGCGGATGCTCCAGGAAGTGCACTCATCTCCTGTCATATGTAATATACACTGACACCATCTTGACGCTGATTGGTGTCTTATGCACCTGGTTTGTGTGAATCAACCCCCAAGGGCCCGTCGTCAGGTGTCTATTCCTGAGCAGCCCCTGGGGCTCTGCCCAAAGCCTCTACCACCTTCTCTCTGGCTGCCTCAGCCTCAGAAGAGTCCCATGAGAAATGTATCCCGGAAGGGCAGTGGCATTTCAGTAGACCTGACCGAGGAAACTGACCAGGCTTGTGCGGGGGGCGGTAGGGGAAGGGGGTGGTCACAACATTGAGAAAGAAGACCGAGCTCGAGCAGAGCCCAGATGCAAGAATGCAGCCAGTAAGTGTGCTTTGTCTAGAATATAGGTTGTGGAAGAGGACTAGATGAGATATATACTTCAACTAACTGTGGTTTGTTCCCTGAAATTCTCTGAAGAAGTTCAGCCCTTAAATGTTTTAAGATTACTCCATTTCAGCGGATCAGTATTAAATAGTAAGTCAGAGTTACTGGTTCCTCGGAGTCATGTGATCCTAGATAGGCTTATTAGCACTTTGACTGACGTTGAAAGGGCATTAGAATCTTCTGCCTCATTTCTAAATTTGGGATAATTTTTTATAACCAGAGGGGAGGAGAGCAAGTGTGTGATAATGATGGCCAGGAAACAATAATCTTTTAAAAAAGTTGGAAACCTCAGATTACTAGTACTATGTTGGGAACAAGGGAATGAAAGTCACCTCTGTGGGTGTTTTTGATTTTACGAAAGTGGAATCAAATGTACGTGTCTTTACTAACCTACTTCTTTCCACCAGAATTTCCCCAGGAATGTAAGCTCCTCGGAGCGGGCTGTTAGACCCCGTTCCCGTGTTCTGGGAGGCACCTCAAGCACAGGCAGTAACTGAGCCCCTGTTCCTGCTTCTGCTCTCAGGTTGGCAGCCTCGGTGGTTCCTGCTCTGTGGAGGAATATTGTCCTATTATGATTCCCCTGAAGATGCCTGGAAAGGTTGCAAAGGGAGCATCCAAATGGCAGTCTGTGAGATTCAAGGTGAGAAACCAAGAGAGTTGCAGGTTTTGTTTTTCTGTCTCCCCCACCAAACTATAGAAGCACTAGCCTCTGTGTGCCATTCTCTGCCGCCCCTATAGTACAGACAAAAATACATAGTGTTATATTGCAAAAGAAAGCTTTGCAAATAAAAAAAACTGCAGCCAGTTCTTACAAGGTTCGTTAAGAAAGTAGTCATAATAAGAGCCATGGACGTAACTATGCACCTATTGTTCATTCCTTAGTCACCTGCCCACCTGGGGCCAGTGGCTATTGCAAAACTTAAGTCTTTTTACTGCAGCATCAAACGCTTCTGTGTTTGAGTCAGGACACACACACCTTCCGGCCAGCACCACATACTCAAAACAAAACAAGCAAACACCTGACAGACCTCCAAATACTCTTTGCTTCTTGGTTTTGGAAATCATGAGCCATACTGAGAAGATGTGGTTCAGAAGCAGATTAGAAGGGAATTTGGGGGGTTGGTGGGCTGTTGGGTAAGGTGAGTGTGGTTTGCTTTCCAGTAAACCCAAGGAGACAGAGTGCACCCTTACCTGTTGGCATGTAAGCCTCTTTGACCTCAAAGCAGCACACTTTACACACACACGCACCAAAAGAGAGAGTCCCTCTCTATTCTGCTAAAATATCTTAAGGAGAGTTGGGCGATTTTTTTTTTTTTTTTTTTGGCCAAAATCTTGGTGATATCATGGAGCCAGCTGCAGGATTTTTCCTCTTCATTAGCAGAAACATCCAGGAAGAGATAACTAAGTTAGGAGAGGTAGCAAGGGCTGGCATCCTCTCTTGGGAGAAGCCTTCAGTTACTGGAACTCATTGAGCTCAAGAATTTGGGTGCAGTGCAGGCTACCCAGGTAGGACTCTTTCTGACCTCCCTCTACTTTTCTTCCAGTTCATTCTGTAGATAATACACGCATGGACCTCATCATCCCTGGGGAGCAGTATTTCTACCTGAAGGCCAGAAGCGTGGCTGAGAGACAGCGGTGGCTTGTAGCCCTGGGGTCAGCCAAGGCCTGCCTGACAGACAGTAGGACCCAGAAGGAAAAAGGCAAGTGTTGGTTGTCCTGTGGTCCGAGGACCTTGGGAATCACGCACTGGCACCTCTGGGTCCCTCATTTGTTATCTTGCTTCTGACCACCTGGCCAGCTTTTTGTACCATGCAATTGACACAGAACACAGTGGAATTTAATCCATGATCTCTAACTCTCTTTCTTAGCATATCACAGTGGAAAGAGTTCAGACTTTGGACCAGAGATAGCTGGGTTCACATCATGGTTTTGCAGGTTACTGGCTTTGTGACCTTGGCATATGTCGTTGAATCTTTCTGATCTTCAGTTTCCTCATATTTTAAGAAGAGGTACTAACCGATAGTAGAAGGATGCCGCAAGAACCAGGGGTGAGAGGAAGCTGTCTGTACCCAGTCTGGCACAGAGTTTACCTTAGGCGAGGAGGAGCTGAGCCGCAGTCGCCCGGAACGGAGGCTTTCCACAGTGACACCCACTTCCCCTCCCTTTCCTTGGGATCGGATGGATACTTAATTGTCAGGTTGCCGCTGCCTAATGCTCATTAACTTGACCTCATTCAGTCTCCTGCGAACCATGGCACAGCTTTCTACCTGGACTGGGTCAGGAGTGCCAGGGCTCACTGCCTGCGCCCTCGTTGCCCGCTCCCAGCCACCTAGCCCCACACGTACACCCGAAGAGACTGGAGGGAGAGGGGGGCCTCTGAGAAAAGTGTTTCAGGGAATCTTTCTCGTGACAGATGTGGCAGATGTGCTTTCCAAGTAGACATAGCAGAACGGCCTCTCTCTTGGTGTTTTTAATGATAAATCAGGAGTGAACTTTAGACACTGTCAGTTTGACTCGGATCCGGGGTGACGTCCAGCTTTTGTTGGATAAAGACCGGCAGCAGTGGCTGCAGCCGAACTCTTGGCCCGGGCCGATGGGGGAGCAGCAGGTGCTCAGACAGGTGCGCAGACAGGCCGGCCCGGTTCTCTGAATTAACGAGCCATCTCATCATTGGTAATTGCACATTACAGGACACTGCTCCCCAGTTTTGAGCACTGTGATAGCAGGTAGATAGCTGTGACCCACTTTACAGACAGGGAAAAAACTGGGACAAAAATTGAACCTTTGACTGTCCTTCGTTCACGAGTCGATCAGAAGTATGCTGTCCCTTCTCCCTGTACTAATCATGCAAAACGTTGGCTCAAGAAGTAAAGTAGATTACTTCAGAAGACTGGAAATCTCCTTTCTGTTTTTCTTGCTCCCGTATCTTCATCTATATCCTGTCTGTAACCCATACCATAAACATCTGACTTTAGGCATAGGTTATATAGTCCACTATCTGTATAGTGTATTAACTAATAAATCATTCATTCATTTTGATAACGACTTATATTATCATCATTTTGTCATTTAGAGTTTGCTGAAAACACTGAAAACTTGAAAACCAAAATGTCGGAACTAAGACTCTACTGTGACCTTCTTGTTCAGCAAGTGGGTAAAACAAAAGAAGTGACCACGACCGGTGTGTCCAGTTCTGAGGTAAAATATTATTTCTCTTAGCCACAGGGATGCTTGCTGTCTCATCATCCCTGACTATCTTGGATTTTACTATTTTTTTTGGAGGAAGGAAATAATAAAATTCAACAAAGAAGAAGTGTGAAGCATTTCAGCATGTGGAAGTATCTAGTTTTCCTTCCTGGAGTGAATTCAAGATTAGTTAATTGCTAACATTCGGAACCTTTAAATTTAGTACTCAAGTCCTAAACTATATTTCTTCCAGTTTGTGTCACTCTTTAGAACACAGTCTTACCTCTAGCAGAGCCATTTCTGTAGGTATTACTACGGAGATGCCAACATCCTATCTGTCAGTGATGCGTGTCTGTCACCTTCGATGAAACTAACAGGATTTTATTTCACTGCACTAATTGTGCTTAAATATAGACTAGTGCTTTCAAAGACGGATACACGGCTTTTGTTCTCTCCATCAGCAGCGAGGACTACAATTTTTAACATTTATTAATAAAGTTGTCACCCTCTCATCTTAAAACATACATTAAAAGATCTATCTGGTGTTAAGCTATGTATTGAGTGGCTCACATTAACCAGAGATGGTCTCTGCTCTGCTCTCTAAGAATTTACAGTCTGGAAAACAATGCCTGCAACGTGAAGAATCCGTAGATGTAATTAATGGTGTTAAATTACTTTTCTGAGGTAGTAGAACACTATGCTGCCTGCAGTATATGTGCTTTGAGTTTTTCTAACAAAGGTGATTAACTCACTTCCATTCACTGCCTTCTGGGCTCTTATTCAGCAACTGCCTGTCGTGTGCAAGACTGATGTGGGATGGGGGGTGGCGGGGGGGCACCAAAAACGTCCTGTTCTTGGGATGCTTATGGTGTAGAGCAGTGCGATTCTCAACCCAGAGCAGTTTTGCCCCTCTGGAGACACCTGGCGGTGTCTGGAGACGTTTTGGTTGTCACGACTGAGGGAGTGCTGTTTGCCCAGGATGCTGCTTCACGTCCCTCAGTGGGCAGAAGTGCCACTCCTGTCCCCTGGTCTCGGAAACAGCCTGCCCCAAGTAGAGGTGGAGCAGCTCTGGTCTAGAGGGATGGGAGAATGTCCCACAGCAGTTTTCAGTTCAAGGAAGTGCTTGTAGTAAGTGCCTTGGGAACTTGATCATGAACCTGCTGTTGTGATATTGTGATTTTAAAAAGCAACATATATTTGATTTTCAACCAGTTCCTGACACAGAGCTCCTAATACCTTTAGAATCTCCTGTGATGAGTGCGATAAATGTGTCTTTTTTTTATGTTAACGTGGCAACTTTTGGAAAGTATCTAAGGTTGGGGGCTGATTGGTGGTACACCCAACCATGCAATTAGAGGGTTGAAACTTTGTCCCAGCCCCCACCCTGACCTTCTGGGAGGGGAGAGGGGCTGAAGATTGAATTTAGTCACCAGTGGCTACCAATTTAATCAATCCTGCCTGTATAATGGAGCTTCCATTATTCAAAGGACAGGGTTTGGGGAGCTCCCAAGTTGGGGAACATGTGGAGACTCCGGGAGGTGGACCCAAACGAGGGTCCAAAGCCAAATGCCCAGCAGGAAGGTTTGCAGTGGAGACATTCAGCTGTTTATTTGTAAGACGCCAGGCAAGGAGAATGGGAGGCTGTAGCTTAAAACCCAAGCCCCGCCCTGGTTTCTGAACAAGGGGTTCAAAGGCAAAGGTTGGCAGTGAGAGGCAGGAGCCCTGGCAGGCAGGTGTGATTGGACAGCTTCATGACGCGGCCGTGTGTGGCACAATGCAGTGAGTGGCTTCAGCTCTGCGTCTTCCTGCACAAGAGACCCTTCACTTCGGACAGCGTCCCAGTGTCCAGTTCTGGTCATGTCCTTGTCCTCTGGTTCCATGAGGGGTGCAAAACTTTGGGTCCAGGTGCGGCTAGAGGTCAGAGCTCTCTCTCTGCACGTGTCTCGGCTGCCTGACTTGCAGTTTGGGTTCGTTGTCTCTGAAAGGCAGTTCAGTATCTTAGAAACAGGGCAGGGCCGTTTTGAGATGGTTCTGTGGGTACCATGGAAGCCTTGACCCCATTCCTGTGTGCCTTGCCCTGTGTACCTCTTCATTTGGCTGTTCCTGATCCTGTTACTAGTATATGTGCTACGACGTAAAGAATCCTGTATCCTCTTACAGTCGTGCTCTGCTTAACGGCAGATACTTTCTGATTGGTGGGTTGAGGCCTTACTTTTCTGGGAAAGCCCAGCATGGAAACTTAGTTATGTTTTTGGTTTGCTGACACATTTAGGATGAGCGACTCCATTTGGGCCCAGTCTGATTACAATAACACTACCGAGTGTCAGGGCATGGCTTCAGTTTCCAGAACAACATAGGAATGTCGGCATCTAGAGGAAGAACACCCTGAACGAGTAAAAAAATTTGGAGGGGAAAATAATAATTAGATGTTCAAAAGAATTCCAGTTCCAAAAACCCCATGTGAAAGCAAATCGTGTGATATTGCTTTCTAGTGCTTCCGTCACAGAGCCTTATGTTTACTCAGGCAGTGGGAGTCATTTCCCATTGATCCCACTGATCGTCAGTCTCTGTGATTCCCTGTTCATGTCCGCCACCCTTATGGACTGGAAACTCCATGAGGGCTCCGTGCCCAGGCCTTCAGCTGGAACAGTGGGTGAGTGTGAAGGGTGAGAGCGAGGGTGAGGCTCGTGTATGGTTAATAGACAAATTGGACTCAGTCTTTTTCTTTTAGAACTGATGTATATATTTGTTCAGCAACATAGGTGGGTACATTATTATTATTCCATTGTGGATAACAGCCTCTAAGGACATCCCACAATTGGGCTTTTTCTTTCTTGGCAAGGTAAAGGAGTCTCCCATCTGGTTGTTTTGTAGGAGGGAGTTGATGTGGGGACTCTGCTGAAATCCACCTGCAATACTTTTCTGAAGACTTTGGAAGAATGCATGCAGATTGCAAATGCAGCCTTCACCTCCGAGCTGCTCTATCGCACTCCCCCAGGATCCCCCCAGCTGGCCATGCTCAAATCCAGCAAGGTGAGAGCCCGGCTCAGCTTGGCTGCAGCAGGGGTAATGAAAAGTTCAGGTGACATACCGAGCGTTGTTCTCCATCACCCTTTGGCGACTGCTAAGGACTTTTTTTAGCGGACTTTCCTTTATGTCCACTTTTATATCTGTCCTCAGTCCTCCATATCCAGTCAGTTATTTTGGGCTATTTTACCACCTAAACATGCCTGTAATGTAGCCAACCTCTCCTCTCCAGCTTCCTTGTCCAGCGAGTCCTGCTGAGATTTGCAGAGGCTTTCTCACTCGTTGCCATCAGCCTGACCCTTCCAGGGAGCTTGATGGTATTTCTAGTCATGCAGTGTAAACTGGACCACTTTACCTAAAAAGCCTTCCAGCAGCTCCCTCATTGCCCCTGAGCTGGAACTTCTTAGCCCCTTCTCACATCCCCAGCCTCTTTCTCCGTCATTACCTGGCTTGGACATGTTACCTGCTTGTAGCTCCCCTCACATGTGTTTGCTATTTCCTAGTGCCAAGAAGCCTTCTCACCTCTT